GAGACTAAATCCATCTGGGTACGAGTACAGTTCAGGTGCTAGAGACTTTGAGGTTAACACATTTTCGAGGGTCCTTGTGTTTGGTCGAAGATATCATGAATACTACTCCTCTTCATAAATTTCAATTAAAGTACTGTTTGAGAATACTACTAGCTTGAAACGCTTAACCTCCATAAGTGACTGGATGGACTAGGCAGCATGCTGAATGGGAGCTTGACAATTTTCGGGATTTCAAAGATGCTGGGTCACAAAAGTTTTTGCTCAACCAACATAAAATTTCAGCCCGTTAAGCAAGTAAAAATCAAAAATCGAATTAGCAATTTCAGTTTACAATTGTTGATTCTTCAATCACACGACGGGAACATGCTCGACGTGTATCCCAAACAAATGCAGTTGAATGGTCAACACACAGAATAACGTATGAACTTCTTCAAATGCTTCACCGAACAAAGCCAAAATGAACCCAAAATATAGAGATTTATTTGTAATGGCTTTGAAATACTTACGTTTGTCGAAGATGAAAAATGTGCTTTTGGAACGGCGGGGTCCTAAAATGCAGCATGAGAGAAAGAAAATACATGTCATTAATATGTGGAAGAATAGTAAAGAGGCTGCGTTTCAATATGACTTTCATCCTTCAAACCATGTCGCTCTAAAACCAGGAATCAATAAATGCACTTGTATCTTTGTTGTTGCTGTCATTGCCATTGGGATTTTGGAGCACTGCGGATTTTACGAACCTAGCGGAAGATTCTATCCTACGAACGTTTATCCTGGAAGTGTATATCTCAGACCGTGAAATACCCTCATTACATATAAAAGGTCGTTCTTCAATATGAGGTGCGTACAAAAATTTGGGATCATAGCACACGCTCTGTTTTTGAAGTCACCACAAATGACATAGCATTTTGATAGGAGCATCCTTGTTTTTAACATAATGGTTAAAAACTCTGTGGCTTAAAGTCCATTATTTGGGGTACTATATTGCCAGAAGCTCAGAGTATGCACTATTTTCTCTTGATCACGCAAAAATGTAGCCAGCTTGCTGTCTGAACGCGTATTAGTTGCTTCAGAATACAATTTCTAATCAAATGTCTGCGATATGTGAAAGCCGGGTCGATAAACATTCATGTGGGCTTGTCATTCCTTGATCCTTCTTATTTTCTGTTATTATCCTCATCATGAGCAACCGTCATATCTACGTCTCTTGTTCTGCCCTCCTGGACCTATGGAACTATGAAAGCAATCCCATTAGAGAACCGATTAGCTTTAATTTTTAAAAATCCTTGTTGGAAACTAAGCAACTGTGGTATAATCCCTAAAAGCTGGACAACATGTCGACCGAATTGGAGGAGTGGATTCCAGTTGAGTTACTATACGTTCCGTTACCACTGATTGTAACGGACGTTTACTAGAGACGTAATACACTACTCATTAGGTTGCTGAAAATTCTTCGACATCCCACGACCAGTTTTGTAATTCTTCGGGCTCATTAGTTAAGTTCGGTCACTGCGTTTTCGTCAACATGTTCTACTCAAACATAAATTGGACAGATTCCGATAAACACCCATTTGTATATCAGTTTGTTTCTGTTGTAAGGCACGCCTGGAACCCAGCTAAAACGTTCATTTATGACATAACCAATCTACGGAATGTGTGACACAAGGCCGCCTCATGCTTCAGTTGGTACGATATTCAAGATATCTCAATACACTGTATAGACGTAATGCATACTATTTGCTGAAACCATGATGAACGAGAGATTTAGATAGGTTTCAAGTAAGTATTCCATCAGAAACAAATTAGTATGCAAATGTGTGTATTTGTCGAAGATCTATTGGGGGTTATTTCTCCAACGACGTGTCAGGATCCTAATACAATCCTCAGAGTTTTTACCGAGTTCCACCCAGTTAAGGACGCGCGCTGGTAAAGTGACCGGTGATGTGACGATGCTGCTTGTATCACTATTGTAATGTGGGAGTTCTGTTTGGAAATCTAAGCTATCCTCTTGTGACAGTTATAAGCCACAATGCAAAACCAATCCGGAGGAAAACGATGAACTTCGTGCTTTCCTGAAGGAAATGAAAACGGTAAAATCAGATTTTTTGGTTTCGATATTCCACCCGAATCGCTGCTTCTTACTCCAGGCGGATTGCTTTTTTACAAAGTCGAATTGTCACTTCAGTAACTTTAACAACTTTATTCGCAGCCAATTGAGGATACCGGGAGCCCGTACTTGTCGAAGTCATTTCAAGCGCAGCCAGGAGACTCAACATATGTGAACTTCGCTTACTTATCCATGGCAATTACTGAGGTGCTTTCTTTTAAGACTTATTAGCGGTTGACGAAAGTCCTTCAAACCATTGCCACCCTAGCAGAATTTGCACAAAAGACTATAATTCAGTGCATCACTCTTGAATATGTTTTGGATTTAGCGGGTGACGATAATCTGGAGGACTTGTCGAGTGGAATTCGATATTTTTTGTAATAGCGGCACCGGCAATCCACAAAACAATGGCTCAGTCAAACATATGCTTGCAACTTAAAAAATGGTAATTCCCCATTAATTCTGTAAGACATTTGTTGAATTTCATGCCAATACTGACAATGTTCTTGTTACTTCTTCTTCTTCTCCTTAATTCTTCTTAATTCAGCCCCAAGAAGGGCGAAACCGGTCGTGGGCTGTCAAAGAGTTTTCAGCAAGCTTGTGAGTAGTTTGCTTTATGAAAAGAGATATACTTCGATATGTCGAATATCGTGCGAACTGAATCCTGGGGCGGCCTGTGTGCAGCACATTCAGCTGGAGAACATGATAAACGAGAGATTCAATTGAGTCTCCCGTGAAAACCAAATTGATTTGCACCGGTTTCGCCCTTCTCGAAAACAGTGCAATTTGGGTTCAAGTAGATCATAAGGTTGACGGAAACTCGGGGACTGCGCCTACCTGATGAGCCCCAAGAAGGGCGAAACCGGTCGTGGGCTTTTGAAGAGTTTTCAGCAACCTTGTGAGTAGTTTCCTTCTTAATTCTTCTTAATTCACCAAGAGAATCAGGCCAGCCAAGGTTAGCTGTCAAAGCTTGCTTTCAGTAGTGAGGTGTTCTGAGCTTGATCAGGGTAGAACTATAAGGGTATATTCACTCATTATTTTAGTGGACAGATTGTTAAGCACACGGAGGTGTTACTTGAACACAGACTGAACTATTTACACCCATCATATTGACAAAATCCAGTACGACAAATTTCAGCCTCCTAGAACTGTTTCTCTCAGAGGTTTTACTAACGAATCCTAGAAATCAACACGGAAAAAGGAAGAATCTTCGATAGAAATAAATGAGCAGGCCAGAAAATAAGCAAGACAAGAAGAACTACAGGGGATGATAGCAAAATTCTACGTCTGAAAAGCGTGGGGTCATGAAATAGAAGAATTATTACATTGGTCACATTCGAGTTCTGGTGTTCTTCCAGTCCGGTGATTTTTCAACTGTTTTATCACTTAGAACGTTACTTCTTCTGACTGTCTGTGTGCCACACTTTTGTAACCCACAATCAAATATGTTGTTTATCACAGAACCCTTACGTTTGTGAAGGAGGAATCAATAAAAAATGACGTATAATTTTAGTTGGAGAAAAAGTGGGCGAGTTTTTAAATGCAGACCACTGGTATCGACACTAATCCGCATATCAAATAACGTTTGGTCAGGACTGATAAGCCTAGCCATTTCGACTGATCCAAATGTTCAGTTTGGCAGCACTTAACCACTATGTTTAACAGTTCTAAGAAGTATGGAAGATGTGACTAGGTTCAACCTTTGAGAGTAGTTTTGTGAATTAATGGCACCAAAATAAGAGCGACTTGCACGGCCATTCAACTGTCAAGTCCCAAGACTTGGACCGTCCTGGTTTGGGTTTTTTGGTTATCGATATTGTTCAGCCACGGGACTTCTGGTGCTCGCTGGTTTACCACCCAAGTCCGCGGCTATTTTGCGTTGCTTCATACCTTTTTATTTTTAAGTTTTCACCTTAAACATTTTTTTACTTTAGTTGTCGTTCCGCTGCCCTCCTGTCGGACGGAGTTACGCCTATCAATGTGTAGAATGATTCACATTCCGGGTTGAACTACGGCTATTGATCACTGCAATAAATGGACACTAGCATTCCCCGTTGGATTCGTTATTTCCGACAGATAATATGGCCATATCATCATCTCCCGCGGTAAACTTTTGAAAAAAAAACAAACTAGCTGCCTATATGTCTCAAGTATTACCGTCGGAACTTGAGCTACTGAAGTATCATCTTACCGTTAAAGTTGCAACAGATCCTGCAAAGAGCGACAGGGGTCTGAAAAATCGCTGAAATTCAGAGGAGAGAGCTTCTGGTTAGCAATCGATGAATAGCAATAATTGACTAAGTAAAAAATTGCTGTGCCACACCGCGTATCGGCAACATTCGACGTCCCCACCGAAAGGCTACAGAAGGGTGGAGCGGATCATAGCGAAACTAGGTACATATTTGTCGTGGCATGCGGCAAAACAGATATCCAGTGACCACAAACAAATTTGGGGATGTAGTAGGTTTTGACCTGTCTTGTAGTAAGTACTCAATGGAACTACAGAAAGCACCCATTCTGTCCTGATCTTACTCGAGAGCATTCCTTTATTTCGGTGGCGAATATAATGTTCTGCATTGTCCTGATCAGTGGGCCTCGGTCGGTGTAAGAGCTGTATGTCGATCCCTATCCACATTGGAAAAAAAACTGTGGGACTCGTGCCTCTTTTTCTTTGTGTGGCTTGCATACTGAGCCCATGTTTTTGCTCCATTCATTATGTTTTTACTAGTAAATAAGTTGAAGATATCTGATGAAAATCGGTGAAAATGACATTCAATGAGCAATCCGGGTGACAGTGAAGTTGATAAGATAATTACATTCATAGGGAGAATCCAATAACCTTCAAGATGCAAGGCATTCAAAGAAGAGATAACCCTAGCAGATTTTGGTCCTCAGAAGTGGTTAGCTTTAACTGGTTCCATGGTGAATCTTTGAGTAGTAACATCCACCAAACAGGACAGCTCTCCTTGTCTAACATCTGAGAGTCTTACAAAAATTTTCATACTATTAGAAAAACGGATGGATAACTTAACATTAGAAAGCAGCAGGTATGTCAATCTCAAAATTCCAAGAAGAGCCATCGTTGCCCTTGGTGCTCTCAAGTCACATTAACGAAGAGTGACAGGTTCTGCTTTGGGTGTAAAGGTAAAAAATCCTGGAAAAGAGGCTGTTGCAAAGCATGCTGTTGTTTGAAACGAATGGAAGTCTCCAGTGCCAGAGCAGTTTGTAGAACATAATGAGATGCACGCTAACGATTATCAAACAAGGAATGAAAAACTTCATCTGAGGATATATATTTTTCGGGTGATTTGTTAGTCAACTGGATCTGTGTGAACAATATGATGTGATTCGTTTTTGCTTGGGGATCTCTGTTTTTAGCAGGTCTGCAGAAATACAATGAAATATGAGGGATTACTGGTAATCTTTGGTACACTTTCTGGGTGTGCACTGTAATGCTTGCCCTCTGAGGTAAGCTGTGTTAGATTTAATGATGTTAAAGATAGAAGTAATCTAATAACCTCGATCCGAATCGGGTTTGCGCCCGTAACTACTTTGCTCAGTTTACGTTGGTGAACACGTAATCGCAGATTTAACTGTTCTCTCTCCGTTTTAGTACCAGAAAGTGATTTTATCATCCGGGGCAAGCAAATGCTGGTGCTCATGTGTCACTGGTGGTTTATGTCCTATACTCTCCAAAGATGTAATAATTAATGGTACTGGTGTATTTTAAACGAATTCCCACTTTTAAGGTCTCGTTTCTAGGATTGATCCTAGTGACCACAGGCCAAATCCTTGCAGCCCTTGAGCGTGCTCAACTCGATCAGCTGAGCTTCGAATTTCTAGATCAGTACTTGGTAACTGATATAGCAGAACGTATTCACATGGCCTGAAGCCAAAATGACTTCAGGCTACACAGCGATGTCTGATTGCTGAAACAAACCGTTTGTATTCTCTCGCCCTTCAAACACTAGCTTAAAACGGTAAATTTACAGGGAAAATGCCATATCCAAACTTCTGCTACTTTGTTGTTATCGGAAAATTTCCCGTTACTACTATTCTTAAATATTTTTTACATCATGTTTATAAATGTAGTCAATGTTTTCGAAAATTGATTGGTAGCTGAGAATGGGATACACTGACGAGAATACTCAAAGTGATACATAGCTAGCCGAGCACTAAACTGAACAATTGAGAAGTTATAGTTTGTCCGTCATACTAAGCATTCGAATGAACCTAACAAATCAGTCATGGCAGATAATAACGGGGACATCTATCTGTATCCGATTGTTATTGAGAACTCTTCGCTTGTCATCGTAGATAACAATAAGGTTCCAACGTGACGATAAATACGTCTTTGAAGTTTAGACTGTTTAGAGGATATACCGTTTTTTGTTTGTTCTTTTTAAATCACAAAACGGGTACATCGTAATAGTCCTGGATGCAATCTATGGTAGGTGTTTTGTTGTGCGACACCGATGGCGTAAGCCCTGAATATTGATGCTCAGTAACTTTATTTTCGTACGCTTGGCTAACAAGAATGTGGGCTGATTGATGGTGCACCGCAGGATTCGATTTATGTGAATCCGGACGTACACATGTTCACCTTGCAGGGATTTTGATTAGACCACAGATTCCTAGTCACAGTCTTGAGGTTATAATTTGTCAGCCCCAAAATGAACACAGACGAGTCGAATTTCAGAAAAAAAGAATGTATCTTGATAAGTATTCGTCCACCGTATAGGATGGCGCTTCAGTACACGTTAATATACATCTGTCAGAAGATCGATGCAAACATCGTATTCATCACATACGTTTGACAGACCGGATGAAATCCAGAGACAGACCCAACTCAACTGTCTACTAAACAGTTTACTCCGGTTAACGTCCGGTCAGAGACGGGTGATTTGAACGGGGCCCTCGCCTTAAACATCACAAATTATGATAGCCTTCATGACAATAATTAAACGTCCATGCTTGTGGAGTTCGTCGGATGATGATGGGATGCGCGCGCAACAGTACTACTTGGTATTGATACTTCATTTTCCCAAGTATTTGGCGACTTGTCGTATCAGAGAGGGAAAGGTAGAATCGCTGGTGTCTCCGGGAAAATTTGGGATAAATTCCTCGAATAGTTCGGAGTAAACAAATTAGACTCATCCATTGAGCTCCTTAGAATCCTTAAGGCGTTACCAACCACCATGAAAACTCCCGGGCTGAAGTTAGACTCAATCGGCCGAGTTGCATCCACAGAGAGCTTCCTAGTGTTGGAAATTGGTTTTATGTGACCAAACTGCACGAAGCCTGACCACCTGTTTTTAATTGTCTCATTTTAAACAAAAATAGTAGCATACTGTTTGCTTTTGTTCTAAACTAATGGAAGTAAGCATTGGTGTTATTAAAACGCATAACAAAGCACAGGTATCCTACATAGTTGTCTATCGTTGATGAGGTGCCGGCCATAGTGCTGTTGACGAAGACAACGACGATGTTAAAATTGATAAATAGTTTCGTTAAAGCTAAATGCATTCTGTATGGTGCATTTTGGAAAATATCTGGATTGGAGAGATCACGCAGTTATAAAAATTGGGACTTACTTGTGCTGGTTCCCCCCGATGTTCATTAACTTGGATCATGCCTCCAATACGGCACAATTGTTCCTCGTGGAATCCTACTACCGTGCGCTTTTCAGTATCAAAACACGGTTGCCTCCTTGGCAGATCTGAATGATCTCCCGTCGGTTCGTCTCCTTCGTGCGTACCATTCACCACATGCACGTTCGGTTCAAACCAATAAGATTCTTTCAAATTTTCAACGTCTTGTCTTGTGCGTTCGTACGTGTCTAGTTCTGCAAGTTCGTCCTATAGCGACAAGACATGAACTTCGGTACTTAGAACAATGGTATGGTAAAACTGAGGCAAAAGACCCAGAGTATTGAGACTCACCTGAATGACGTGCTGTAGAAGGTGATTCTGCATTTGCAAATCACAGGTTACGACATGAAACTAGGGAAACTGTTTACTTTCAGTATGGATTTCAAAATATATGTTCGGATTCGCTTCGGGAAATAATAACACAAGAGCATGCAGTTGACATCCTTGACCCATGATCCCTACAATCAACAGAACTATTCCCCTGCCTTAAGCGTGTGATCATTCTTGTTTCTTGTGCGTTGGATATGATAAGGCTGATTCCAGTTTGCCGGGCTACCCGAATGCTGAAGGCTGGATATTCGCAAGGAGGCTGATGAAACATTCAAATCTTTTTTTTAGAATCAGCGGACAAATCCATATGTTCGAAAGTCACTTCTTCATTTTGGGGAAACAGGGTGGTTGGAGTTGATGAACGAACGCTACCAGCAACTTGCTGAAGACCCCGCTTCAGCTGAACTCTTTTCAGTGCGTTCGCCGATAGCAGATGTTTTCCAAAATGATTGAGCTTCCATGGATCTGAGCTATGCGTTCTACGAGGGTTCTTTCACATATGCCTTCGAATGCCCAGAATTATTCGATACGTTTGTGTCAAATATAATATGCACGTAATATGTAACCGAGTGACAAGTAACCAGTTGATTCCAAATATCGTGATGGTGGCCGTAAACTTGTGCCTTTATTTCCTCCAGTCTTTTTAGAGGAGCTTTCAAGTGTAGTGCAACTTTTCCTGTTATGGTATTACGCTCGCAAATCAACAAAAGCCTAAACGCGAATCACTGTTAATCTAAAATGACCAGGGAGGCATGAAACTCCTCAATTCTTAGTTCCTTCTGAATGAATACAGACTTTCCTAATATGTCCCACTTAGACGAGTGTTTTATACTCCATCAGGAGGTCAGCATTCCTGTATTTTTTCCAGATGAATTCCACTTGCAAACGCAATTCAGCTATAGAAAATTCAATATTACGATGGTACGAAAAGCAACCGATCGCAGTTATTCTCGTGATAATCAGTCAAAAGACCATTAGGTCATATACGTCACACTTGGCAAACACGGTACAACGAAACGAATGGATAACTGAAGGGGTTTTCCGGCAGTTTAGAAATGTTTGTCCGACACAAGTAGCGACTCACTATTTCTACATACAGTAGTATGAATGTGTGAAATAATCATTCTTCTCCCCGATTGTGTCCGACAGTTGACACCTTGGATGCTACCAGTGAAAGGAAAAAGGCCTTCGTCACGGTGTCATTTATTAGGAAATGCCAACTGACCGGTTACAGACCGTTGGACAGGGAAGCAAAACTCTTATTTGTATTTACGAAAACTGGATATCCGTCTTCTGAACGCGCCTTCTTGAACTTTCCTGAAGGTTCATTGATTCCATTCATTCCTCGCTCAAATGCAAGCAAATGTTACAAAGTGACTCCACGAGTTCCGCAACATATGCCCCTTTTCAAAAGACGCAAAGCGAAATTCCACGAACAACACATACTACTCGCGCGCCTCCCTATCAGTAGCATCACCGTTACACCGGCGAGCGCACTGCAAAAAAGACTTAGATCTAGCCTCTTTCTGGGGCAAAATCCTGTTGTCATTCTCGAATTCCACCTTTGGGTGGGGGCGAAAGTCGGTGGTGTACATTGAAGAATCGTTGTTATTTGACACTTACATGTGGTTTAGCACCCTTCGTACGTCAAAACGGGGTGCACATCATGCTGATCGGCTTGTCGGTTGGCCACCAAAGTGAGTTATTTATTCTTATTGAACTACTTGTAATTTGATAGTAGTTTCGGACGGTTTCGAAATTCCATGATTATCGTGAGATGCACGGAGAGTACAACATGGTTTTTTGTCTGACATTGACCAAACATAAGCGCGTAAACTTAGAATGAAATTTCCGTGGCTCTGTGTCATCAGCATCGTCGACAGGATGAAACCAATGGTCACCATTGATGCTTCGCTGCCGTGCAACCACGATTTATTTGAAAGCCTTTTTGTGAAGAAAAGAATAAAAGTGGACAGGGTTGGGGCTTAGTTCTAGCCTAATACAATAATTCCAAGGTATCTAAACCTCCAAACACTCGTTCAGGCAGCCCGGAGAGAAAGTGAAAAGAAAAACGCCACTGATATCGATTCACAGCCATATCTTGGAGCGACTCCAACCAGGCCTAGTGAAGATCACGCGACGAGTAGCACCGACAGCACCCAAACTTTTCGTAATCTCTTCGGCAACCTTCTACCAAGCCAAGTGTTTTACACCTCAGTGCTTCCGCTACTCTAAATTGGGCACAGATAACCGCACTTTGGCAGACGACCGTCAGGCAATACCTGGAAAACGGTGATACATAGGCTAACCAACGTAGCTTTTGGTGCTGGATATGTTCTTCAAAAGAATTCTCTGTTGCACGGCCGGAAACTCCTTTTCATATGGCTCGTTATGGATTCGCCTGCACCAAAGCTCTGCGTAACAGTAAAAAAGTAAAAATGGAACCAGTGTGCAACCACTTGCGGAAACGGCTTCAAAGTTAACCACATTTCAGAAGGACGTGATCTGTATGGCTGTAAGGAGTCACCCACGATCCTCGTTACGGATTCGCCTGCACCAAAGCTCCGCGTAACAGTAAAAATGTAAAAATGGAACCAATGTGCAACCACTTACGGAAAGGGCTTCAAAGTTAGCCACATTTCAGAAGGACGTGCTCTGTTTGGCTATGAGGGTTCACCCACGTAATCTCTTGCGAATTAGTTTAGGTTGGACCTGGACACAACTTTTGGCCAAAAAAGGTGAAATCATGGCCTCTTGATGAACGAAATCCGCTTCGTTTATTGTCACTAGAGTTTCTTACTAACAGGAAAAACTTTTGTTACTTAATACTAGAAACAATGACATACTCAAGTTCGCACAGCCTAATTGCGCTTGATCCAGGATGAAAAATGCTTGATGGCAGAAACTACGAGAGCAAATAAGACAGAACTAAATGAGCAAACGGTTCATCACGGTATATCTCTAAATGGGTTTCTCCAAAGCATAACAGGTATTCAGCTGAATTAAATTTGTTGGTAGTGTGAGGAGATTTAGTTTTTTTTGTCTGGAGATTCCGTACCGTAAGTAAAGTCAATCTATGCTGAAAAATCGAGAAGCACTGTACAGCTGTTCCATCCTTACTGGAAATCATCAGGAGTGCACATCTCAGGAAACTCAGGAGATACTCGAACTCACGACCTCCCAGCTAGTTTTTTGGACACTTAACCGTTCGGTCACGAGCGGATGATCAGCAGTGCGGTTAACTCGCAATAGTACAGGACTTTACTTACAGAGTGAAATCTCCGGGAAAAACCGAAATCTCCTTACACCGCAAACAACCTATGAGTAGCTCAGTGACAGAATAAGTTTCACCCGATGAGTGAATCTTCCACCTGAGTAATCATTGCTCGAATAGCCAGTCAACAAGCGTGACCGCGTGATGTGGATTGAAGGAAGACTGACTCTACATCCTGTTTAAGTGTGAGTTGATCAGCCGCTCGTGCCCGAACGGTTTGAGTCTCTCCGGAGTGTCCTGAGATGCGCACTGCTGATGATTCCCAATAGGGATGAAACAGCCGTACAGTGATTCTAGACTTTTCAGCATTGATTGACTTCAATACAGGACGGAATATTCACAAAAAATACCTAGCTTCGTGTTTGTCAAAAATAATTCCACGTTTGCATGCATTACCACAGGGTTAAATGCTTCCTCTAATTCATTAACTTCATTAGTTTTTTGTCCTAGTTGAGTATAAATCCAACAGAATCTCTGCTAATCCCTATTGAATACCCCATTCTCTGTCCATCAAATAGAAAACTAAGTCTGTGTGCTCCTGGTGTCAAAGCTCACTAGGTTTTTTACTGTTAAATGTAGAATTCGTCGTTTTAACTACAATAGCGTTCTGTGATGCCCTCCCTCTCACATTAGCTGCCTGCAGGAGATCGGTTTTGGAGGAGTATCCAGGCTAATCCAAAACTAAGCAGTATATATGAACTAGTTAACAAACCTTCGTGGCGGACAAATGCTTTTTTTCCTATGCCACTAAATATTTGTGCTTTCTTCTCCTTATGTTATGGTGAATTAACTATGTCTGGCCTCCTTCTATCACGACCTTTTTGTTGTCAGCTAAGTTGGACCAAAACGTACCTCAGTTTGCCAGAACCCACAGAAGTCTCCTTCACTGTAGCCAGGATTGCAGTCTTTAAAGCTTCGTTTGATTTGGGGACTTTGAATAGCCTCCAGGCCATGTGTCCCCACTCCAGGTGAAATCATTCCAGCCTGCAAGAAGGATGAAACAGGTTAACTGAGACTGCTCTAAGAAGGGCAGCTAATTGCGCCGGATATCACGAAAATGCAAATTATGATACCAAACGAATGAAATCTCTGGGTGCATTATTTGACCCCTTAGGGTCCATTTGTCCTATCATATGTGTACAGTTGCTTCCGTTTTGCCTAAAGCGAAGCCTTTGGGAACTAACATGCCTCATCGGAGATTTCGTTCTGTGAGTGGAGCCAACCTAACCATAGATTCCTAGGTGCATTGTACAATTGCTTCTTCGTTACGGGAGATTATCGGTGGTGCGCATCTCGAAGCAATTTCAAAGCCGCGACTTCCCGGCTAGTTGTTTGAACACTTAACTGTTCGGCCACGGATGGAAGGGAATTAGCCTCATTAACTAGAAGCTACACAGGATATAGCGCTACTAAAAATCACAACATTTCGTCGCACTATCGTCAGCCTGCAAGTGCAGGAATGTTTACTACTGATGAAACATGCAAGTGGTGTCTAATCAAGTGTCAGAGCACTACCCCCGCATCTAATGTAAGGTCAGTACGGGAATTACGGAATCCCTTTGCAAGGTTTGTTCCTTAGTATTCAAACATCTTTCAGGAAAGTTCAAAGGACGGTTGATAATACCCACTTCTCGTGTCTAAGGGCTTGAAACCACACAACTAACAAAGAACTCTTCACTGAAGGGCGTTCTCCCTTTCACAAGTAGCTCAGAGGAAAAATAGTCCCACAAGCCGAGAAGCTGTCAGCTGAGAAGTCGTCAATCAACACGTGGCTGCACGATGTGATTTCCGCGTTTAAAGGGTTAGTAACCCTGTATCGTGAACTAGCGCGAGTTAATTATAATGCTTATCTGCTGCTCGTGACTGGAAGCTCGAGTGTTCAAAGTACTAGCTGAGAGGTTGCCGGTTTGAAATTCCAAGGAATTTTGTTAGATGTGCTCTGCTTGATTAACTGAATACCCTTCTTAACACCAGAATGCCCTTGAGCGTTTTCATTGTTTCGAGAATCCATTTTGAAAACATTTCTCTCTGCATACAATGCTAGAGGCTTTGTTTCGAAAAGCCACTTACTCTGCGTCACCGCTGAGTTGCTGACTGCACGGCACTGACGTACTTGTTGGCGTAAGTCTGTTAACTGGAACAGCCATCGAACCACTGACTTTTACCAATTAGAAGATGACTGATCCGTCAAAAACCCCTGGAAACTTCAGGCCACTTCAAAACAAGGTGATAATTTCAAACCCTTTCTGCTAACGGGTTTGCTAGTTGTGCCCCAGAGCAACCCCGGTTTCATTCACAGGGAGAAAAAAGGGCCAGAATTGCCCCTGGAAACTTCAGGCCACTTCAAAACAAGGTGATAATTTCAAACCCTTTCTGCTAACGGGTTTGCTAGTTGTGCCCCAGAGCAACCCCGGTTTCATTCACAGGGAGAAAAAAGGGCGCAGAATTGCCCGACTCGGAGAAAAACAACGACCAACTACGATCTTCTGGTAGTGATCGCTAACGCCGGAATACGGGGTCTTCAGCCAGTAGTGAAAAGGACAAATGGCGGGTGTCCATAACAAACAGATACATGTTTTGTTCAGTCCTGATCTGGAAAAACCATTTCATTAGGTCTGTAGATTATCTTTTTCATTTCCAGTTACCCCAGCATTCAGCGAAGACCGATTCGGCTATAATAGCGGAATGGCAGATAGCCACAAACAGACTGCAGAATGAGAAAGATGCTGGCACATTTGTTCGAGCGAGGAAAATAACGCCTCAGAACAAACTTCTTCATTTGCCGTCTGCAAACTGGGAAATAGGCGACGCTCCCGAAGACCCTGAGGATGAAGCAACAGTCCTTCTAGATAACAGATAGAAAGGAGCCTAACGAAAGAAGTACGGTTATTATGAAATTTTTGATTCATATCCTGCTTATCCGATTACACACTGGCATTACAGAGTAAAAGTTTGCTGTATAAAGCCCTGGATTTTGAAGCAACCAGAGCGTTGTTGAGTTGATATTTTCCTCGTCGAACCGATCCAATCGGTTTATGGATCGCTTGTTTTGATCGTCATTAAAAGCTTTCAGCCGTTCAGATAAATTTGCCGACAACATCAAGGCTTGAGTGGAAAACCAAATGCAGGCCTTTGTGATTACTTAAACCGAGATTAGAATCAAAACATAAGTGAGACAGGATTGAAGTATTGTATTGTCTCATCTTCATTTTAGCCGCATTTTGTTAGCATATAAGCAGAGAAGTGTACCGGTTTATTGCCGACAAATTTACTCGCACTGAGTGGTTGCAAATCGAACAAATGTATTTCGCCAGATGTTGACCTCTTCACCGAGAATGACAACCTATTGGTGGACAGTTTGTGGATAGTTTTGGGGACACCCCTACGGTAATGTCCCCACGACTGGGGACAAACTGCGGAACTCAGGTCCACAACTCAGCCGATTAGCTCAAACTAGCTACCAGTGTAACGGTGATACTATTTCGGGATATTGGTACTGGTTTCAAACCAGGAGACCACTGGGCGTTTCGAATTTAAGAGCACTTTGCTAATTGACGTAAATCACTGTAAAGCATTAATTACGGAATTAGATTTCATATTGTAAATGAGCTTTTACTGATGACGGGGGCCTAGAAGACTGGAATGAAAGTTAGGCCTTGAGACAAAACACCATCAACACGAATGTTGAAATCTGATACATCCGTACCTCATAAGTTCCAGTAGGTTACATGGTTTAATTCAGTCAATCATCAAAATTTGGAAGTGAAAAAAATCAGCGTCATTCATTGATTGCATAACTTAGAGGCTAAGATACGCATGTCAAGCACTTAGGTATCTGGCGTGAATTGTACACGAGTTGCGAGAAGAAATCAACCTGTATGTCAAACTACAGTAAAGGCATGAGATTTTGACGTACTTCAAAGCTGGCATACAAAAAACGGTTACGTTACTAGTAGAGTTGGTCTTACAATGGGTAGGTAAAAATTTTAAAAATAAATATTTTATTTTCATCATTTGAGCGCAATGAAAAGTTCACGGGATAGAAAACTTCAGGATATGTTTTAAGTACTTTTGCTGGGACGCTAAGATGGTAAAAAATGATGAGCTGGATGAAAAAACAAGCTGCGCAATATAATACACAACAACAAATCTGAGGACAAGTTATAAAAAAAGTAATTGGTTAGTTTTCAATCTCAGGAAACCACAAACTATGTCGGGCATTTCTGTTAAACCAATTCATGATATTATGCAAAGAACCGCGACAGTAACTTCTAGTCCTGAATTTCACACAAACTGAATGGGACAGAATGCAAGTCACCCATAAAAAGTAGAAACCGTGAACTGTGGAAAAACCTCGCTGATCCGACCTAATATGTGAAGCAAATCAGGTATCTTGGCTGATTTCATCAAGCTGCGGTTGGTATGGTATGAATTTATGTCCTTACTACTCAGTTGCAAGTTGCATTCAAAGGAGTCATCCGAAGTTTCTGGGAACGACTCACATACGATCCGAATGAAAGCAATCAGGAATCTATGAAGTAAATCAGACACATTCTTCCCTGAACCTAAAGGACTCAATTTCAACCTGGGATGCTGACAGACTCATTTTATCGGGAGCATACTGAATGTTTAAACATGTGGACTAGAACACTAGTACTTGATTCATTCAGTTGAATTTCGTTAGTTCGGTACCGACGTTCTTGTCAAGTTATATGTTCTTTCCTCAATTTTCGCTTACTTTTTGTAGCAAACCGGAGTACGGACATCAGGAGCTTGTGAAACAAGAAATTTACAGCTGCTAACCTCACGATATCGGCCGCAGCGAAGTTTTTATTCCAAGTATGAACGCATTATTTGAAGTGTTCTCATGGGTGTTTTTTATGAAACCCTAGTAGCAAAACAAAACAGTATCGCACATCTTATCTCATTTCTGCGTAAACTTTAATTTTCTAAATCTAGAAACAAATGTTAATTCTTCTCTATTGGACCATTTTGAAAGGTCCGCATAATTCGCTACTGTCTCTTCAATGAAAGCCTCCATCCGAGGAAGATTCGAAGGAAACGTTCCTAGTTATTTCTATTTTTTAACAAGGTATGTCACAGTTTTTTTAATATTTGGATCCTTCTTTGAAGGTGAATCTTCTGAAGTTTAGACAAAAACCATTTTATCCACCGAATAGTTCATTGCACGGGATTTTACTGGTTTAACGCAGACCAATCACAGCAGTGTTCATAGTCTGTTGCTGACAGCCCATTTCAGAACGGTTTCTTGATACTTGCGCCTCAACACAGGAGGCTTACAGAGCGCATGGATTCGCTTGTTGGTCTGCGCGTCCATCACAGCTCTGCATCTCAGCAAGGCAAGCTGTCTAACTAGGAAGTCTCTGCATGCACAGTGTGTTCCTGCCAGACATTGCATACTGTTGAAAGCTTGGAGGATACCGGACTACGCCGTCTCCTGATTATGCCAATAATTTTATCGAAAACTGGTAAGTGGTGCGTATAAACCCAGGCTGTTGAGGATTTTCTCACTCTATTGCTTGAGTTGTCGAAGATTTGCGCATCCTTGAATTAGGTAGGACAGTAGTGGGGAAGTGTCTGTATGTATTTACGCCACGTACTGCATGCTGAATCTAAATTGACGTCACGATAATGCCCCCAATCATCTGCTTCCCCGCCCGTGTATTTTTAAGCTCCACCCGTTTCGCTCATCTGTACCTGCCGCTCACCATGCCGCAAAGGCCGTCCCATCCCACAGGGGGTATTAGAATGTGCCTGTGTGGAAATCTGCGCAGCTGACCTGCTTGCCCATGCGTGTTCGTGCCCCTTTTGCTGAGTATGCCCCTGATCTGTTCTCTCACGATTTGCTCAACGCCAATCAGAATAAGAAAACTGTCTTCGGAAGTGACGACCGTAACCCAAACTAATCAGCCAGCATTCTGCTCGCCGCTGTTTGGTGTGCGAAACTTGATGCTGCGCTGTGCTGGTGAGCGACAGATTTGCGGACGTGTTGACGCCATGAACATGAACAATTGAGACTTCTTGTATGACTGCTTAACTTCGTGTCATTTCGATATACGGGATCATCCAAACTACGCGCGACTCAAAGTTTCCGTATTAGGAATCTCAATATTCAAAAGCATTGAATCAAAAGACAAAAGTTCTTGCATGTCAAAATTTCTTTATCAACCACCCGTAGTATATATTGTCTTCAAAACTAGGGTTTAACTCGATAGTGATGTGAAACTTTATGGGTATACATCAGTTTGACTCGAGTATTGTCGGAACGTAGTTGTGATAAGACAGCATGATTTTCCCGATTGATTTTTATCATTCTGGGAGAGTAGTAAATGACTAGTGCATGCGCCTTGATCAGAAGCTTTGACTCTTCTAGGCGCGCTGACAGCTTTAGTGGAATGAATCTGTTGCAACTTATATTAAACGTCATTATAAAATGCTTGATAAACCTCCATTATCCAATGGTCGGTAGACATCACCTCGAGTTTTGGGGATCTGGAAGGATCCGAGTTGATTGGCACTTGGACGTGAAAACTAAGAATACAGTTTGTCGAGCTGCTAGGCCACCTTTTCCAATTCATTGCAAAACAACGATTGAGCACTGAATCTGAACTCCGTATTAATTGAGAAAACACATGACTGGCATCAATAGGTAAAGTCGAACATCACATTCCAAAACATTGTGGGTATGTGATTACAACAAGGTGCATTACAATGCTGGATACAGCCTGTTCGGAAGGGTCTATATCTCCCCAGTTAAACCATGTTTAAAGGCATACGTACTTACATGCCTCACCTGGATCAGCCTTGTCTAAAACTGGTGTACTGAGATTGTTTAAAGAACTGGAGTGAGGTAATTTCTTTCAATTTCCACATATGTATTTGCCCAACAATTCATAAGTCCTCAACCCTTAATGAAATGGGAACAGTCTATTTAGTTTATCTTAAAGGTACGCTGGTTCACTGTTCAGTGAGCAATGGTACGATACAATAAACGAATACGTTTAGTATTATGCTAGGAGTGAAAGTACCTGAAGAATGAAACTGGTAGAGTTAACAAATGATAAGCAAGCAGCCCCTGAAAGCAGCGCTCGTCACGTCACAATGTTCAGACCCGCTTGTGGTTTACAACAAAATCCTGCATGTCCGTCTCTCGATCTTATTCTTCAGGTTTATGTCGCTGTCGGATTGTCACACGCAGTATCATATACGGATTCTGCAATATGAGTGTCGTTGCGCGGTTTAATTTTTTTGTTTCCAGAAGCTCGTCTACATATATATGTATACACTGACGTTCGAGTTACCATAAATGCGAAAGGCGCCAACTTTATTGGCTGTATGTGAAGTGATGGGACCCGATCTGAGTGCTGATTAAACTCCCATAGAGCCTTTATTTTGTTTGCTTACATCCAAAATTGTGTGTTCCTTTGGATAGCTTTACCTCAATTACTAACGGCTACAAAACACTACTCAACACTGCAGATTAGGCAAACAAAAATTTGTACCATTTGTGCCCTTTCAGATGATAGTCATGTGATAATCGTGGCCGATGATTGCGATGATGAGGAAGTTGAGTAAGGGTATGACGAGGACGAATGGTGAAATTTTTGGTGAGAACTTACGTAGAGTGCACATCCTCTGGCAACGGCCTCGTCTCCATTCACAATGGGGTGTCCCATTTGTCTGAACACAAAATGAACCACCTGCTGTATGGCGTGAACACGAAAACCTCCACCAATCAGTTCTACTGCACTAAGCTCCTTAACATTAATGGTACTTCTCCGAATACATTCTTCAAACAAGCCCCGGAAGCGGTTCCGCAAATCGCCCAAAAGTCCCTATTTAGTAAGCTTGGGTTATAAACAAGACTTACTTCAAATTGAGCACGACATATACGGAATTTGAGATCATTTCCATGTAGCAGTCGTTCCAATAAAACGGATATTTCTGCCGCACTGGAAGTCATTCTTATCTTTAACAATTCGGCTTCTTTCCTCAACCTGTATAAAATCAATGGGGTTGCTTTGCCCGACTGAAATTTGTGGCAAATGAGTACAAGTATAATTACCTTCCAAGTGTTAGCGAATTGTTGCTGTAGTCGGATGTTTAATACGCGGTCAAAATCTCTCCCTCCCAGTTGTGGGTCTGAAGCAGAGCCCAAGATCTTCATTCTTGATTTTGTGAATGCACAAATAGATACTTGCGTGCTCTTATGCCCCACATTGATAAACGCAACCTTTTTAGGAGGCATTCCCTCGTCGGGCAGCAGATTCGGTCCATGCGTATAAAATAGTCCGACTAAACAGGCAGTATACGAGAAATATTTCCAACTTACTAGCAGTTGTCGCATCTAACAGTGTTACATTTGACAATTTCGCAATGCGTGCGGCATCCAACATCGCCTGTTGTTCTCTTTCATCATAGAAGTCTGGAACCCCGATGACAACCGCTTGACTTTTGGAAGTCACAGATGACTCAACGATTGACACCAAGTTTTTCAAGACCATTGCAACCAGTTGTTCCGGGACAAAGCGCCACTCGCGACCGGCGAAAGAAACCTGCGTTGTCAAGCGTTGCGAAAAAAATTGGTGGTAGTTGATTGCAACTCTCCAAACCTTGTTTCTGCAAACCAGAGTATTTTCCACAGCAACTACAATCAACGCTAAGTAATTAAGGCAGTATACTTCCACATGAAAATCAAAGTTTCACCTACTTTCCTACGACCTTTACGTCACTGTCGATTAGAACGGGGAGATTTGTTTAAAGCAAATGATGAACAACCTTTGGGGTGCATTCGGAATTTACGAGAGTACATCGAAATGGAATAGAAATATGTGTTTGGGTGATGAATTCTGGTCACTTTGCTTTCTAAAGCCTTGGTTTAATGGTGCTGGTTCTGAAAATTCCTTACTGTGTGGAGAGATTTCACTGTTGTTCTTTCGGCGTGTTGATACTAGGATCACAAATCAGCCGTCTCGTCAAAACAAACACGAAAGCCAGGTCTTTTCGACACGGTAAGGACTAAATGCTGCATTTTCTTGCTTCAGTTCCCCCACTGTTTTTGTTTGTGATGGTAGTTGGTGATAATTGTTATCTCAAAGTGTTGGTGTGCGAATAATAGTTCATCGAGTTGTTCATCTGGCAGCTTGTCAACACCACCAAAACCAATACTTTGCGAATGGAAATTAGTTTGTAAAAGTGCCATGTCAGTATCGCGATATATCAAATATCGTACTGAATAAAACATAGGGCAGCCTGGTGCAGCACATTAAGTAGCGCGTAAGGTTAATGGAAGTTCGGGGACTGCGCTTACATGATGTGCCCCAGGAAGGGCGAATTCGATTGTGGGCTCGAAAGAATTTTTAGCACCCTTATGAGTAGTATATTACGTCCATGCGTGTCTGTGGGCTTGAAAGAATTTTTAGCACTCTTATGACTAGTATATTACGTCCATGCGTGAATTGCGATATCTCGAATATCGTGCGAACGGAAACGTCAGGCGGCCTGGTGCGGCACATTTAGCTTCTCAAAAACAACACGATCGAGGGATTGAGCTGGGTTCCAGGTGAGTTCCCCAAAAACCCAAACTGATTTGCAAATGAGCGTATTTCGCTAAGTTCTTCACCACGAACAGTTCTGTACAACGAATAGTGCCAAATCCGGTTCACCAAACTCATTAATACCGCTTTTGGCCAAATTGTGCAATCATTCTTGATGTCCAGTCATGAGCTGCTCCAAAGTGCCTCAATAAACGTGTACGTGTTGCCGTATTGGAATCCAAGTTTAACAGTGCTTACGTTACACGAGAGTGATGTCAAGTTTGGAGTACTTTGTTTACCAAAATATCTTAAAAAAGAATGAGCACCATGAGAAGGATAGAGTACTTCTCTCAAGAGGATTAGAATTTTACATGAATAACACAAGAAAAGGCCCATAGTATTTTGTAGGCTTTGATTACAAGTTCCCAAAATGACAACGTAATTTTCCTTTTAAACTGGAAAGTTCAAGGCATCTTGATCAACATTTAATCGAAAGAACAAGTAAATAATCCTGCAGTAAAAGGATGTATCCTTCAAAAGTGCTGTTCAAGCTATAGGCTATGGTCTTTGTAGATTTATTATCAGAGTTTCCGCATCCTACCGAACTGAACGCATGTTAGATCACCGGAAAAACGATGGCAATACAGTGATTCTGAATCTGAGAGTCTGAAAATGGAGCATACAATATTCTAAAATAACCATTCATTTTCTCTGTATTTTGTTGGAATTCTTTGATGACCCGTGAATCAGTACAAAACAGAGCATATTTGGCTTGGAACTAAGACCACCGAAGATTAAATTATCACGAATAATGCACCATAAAGGTGTAAAAGTTCACCCAAAGTTTTTCGTCTTTTCGTCACAACGACCTCCAAGCCAATTTCTGCGGCGTATTTTCGGACACACTTGGCCAGATATGCACAACATTAAGTAGCTGATCACCCAAGATATTTCACCCACGCTTGTTTGTTTTTCAGCATATTGGCAGCGGACGAAACAACTCGTTAGCTCACCGAGATTTGGTCTTTCATAAGATATTAAAGAAAATTCACATATTTTGTGGGCAAAGAAAGATAATCCAGTGTTTGGTGTTGACCAAAGCAAATTCCTCTGGTGTAGGTGGCCAACGTTGGGCTACACGTCCAAATAGCGGTAAGTCAAGCTAGAGACGTGCAGGAAGGATATTGATAACCTGGCTCTATGGCAAGGAAAATAACTTGTATACTTAGTTAAAAATGTCGAACGAAAAGTACTAAGGTTTCTTCCCATTGTTCTTCATCGTCCTCGACTCAGTCCTTAAAGCGAGCCATGGGAAATCATCTCTGTTGTTATAAAATAAACTGTGCTTTTATTAGCTTTTGCCGCATTGTTACTATTAGACTATATCTGAATCATCGCACATCTGATGCCTTCGTTGCCACTTTACTCAAACAAATGTTGCTTTGTAAAGGCGCAGTCAGAGAAGCGTCTAAGGATCCCAGGGATCCTCCTTCCACATGGTTCATTTCAAGTGGGTATTAAGGACTATATTTCATACTGTCGTTTGGTACTCAGCATCCTTCACATCAAGAGCTATGCCACAGTGAGAGCAATGATAGCGAATGATTGGCGAATGCAATGCGCAAACAGTCCCTGTTTTTCGTGTATGCTTCACATTATCATAATTTTTGGTCATTCCTCCAAAATCCTAATGTCGTTAAAAGTTCCTAACTCATTCGCTGACTCTTGCTTGACGGGTGTTCGTTAAAACTTCTTTTGCCATCTCCGAAAGCCAGCTATGGTTTGATGAAGAGGCCTCGGTTTCTGACATGCCATCTCGCCACTTACAAGGCGAAGTATAGCTGGAGCGAGATGGCTCTCATGCGTGAAATTACATTTTCTTTGTAGTCGTTGGATGACTCCATCCTTTTTCGGATCCATAAGTGCAGCTACAATTATATCCATTCTGCAGATATCTGTTACACATGAATTTTCGAAGAAAATTCGCACACCCAATCCAAAGATTCGCCAAACCCCCTAATGTTTACTGTCACTAAGGGTGTTGAGTTAACCACTGCACGCCCCACGTCTGCTTAACTAATCTTTCACATTCCTTTCAGAAGCTTCAGTTGCAACGTTAGAACACACATAGCAGCCTGACTGAATCAGGGTTCGACAACACTGACTGACAAGTTGAATGCATATAACAAGATTTGGCAGTTATTGGCTTCACGTTCCTCCAGAACGTGATCATCATCATGAGAAAATATATCGATTTGCACCACCATGGCTTAGCTCGAAGAACAACGTGTGAATTCGCGCTCGCAGGTCTGTCAATTGGACGAAATAATCAATAGCGTAAATTAGTCGGATAAATTAGTTCGTCACAAGATTCAATAACACAAAAGGTATACAGTCAACAGGCCTATAGCTATATAAGCGGCGAATAAACACCTTTTATAAAAAAAAAATTGAAAAGCGGACGATTGACTTGTCAGGATGTAAATACCCAAAAGTCATGGGGAACGAGTTTATTGTTACGGGATGAATCTTTCGCCTAATTTGTTGGCAGATGAAAGTGAACACATATCCCTCTGAATCACATATAGGGGAAAACATAGGAAAGAGAACACAGTGCGTGGGCAGTATAAGAATTTATTTGAGAGCGACCGAGTCAATAGTGATTAAAAAACAGAAATAGCTGTTGCACCACACCCTATCGTGTAACCCAATAGAACCAGGGAGACTAAGATCACGCCTAGACAGGTGCAGTCCAGAGACTGGGTTGACCTTGAACCGCATACCTCTGGGTCACTAATTTTGGGGCCCAATCGCCGAACTGTCATCTACGGAAGCTGAGTGAGTTCGACGAAACTGCGCCTGGACCTACCGATCGTCACGGAAGAAAACAAGAATTGTCACTGTGATTATCGTCATCACTGTCAATAACTGTGTGGCATCAGTGTTCAACACTGGGATTTTTGTGGGATTTCGTCCTGTAAGTGAAGCCAACCTATGCTGAAAAGCCGAGAAGCACTGTACAGCTGTTTCATCCTTATTGGGAATCATCAGCAGTG